GTAACTAAAGATTTGATAGTAAAAAGTATGGAATTAAAATGGTAAGGTTAAAAATAGTTACAATGGTTAAGACAAGTAAATAAAATTTAATGCATTTAATTTACTAGTTCAATAAATGTGTTTAATTTACTAGTTCAATAGGCTAGTTTAAATAAATTTAGAACTAAAGTTTCATAAGTCCAAAAAAATGTTTTGTATGGTCAAAAATCTAATTAAAGGTCTAAATAAATTTATTAAGTGCTTAACTGAATTAATTAAATGGATTTCTACTCTATGAAATTTTTATAAAAATAATGGCATTAAATCAAAATTTAATGATTTAATATATATATATATATATATATATATATAATTTTCTAATTAAATTGAATATATTATAATTAAATTATTTTTCAATGGAAAATAATTTAGAATAATCCTATTATGTTTTATAGATTATTAGAAAATTAGTTTTTTAAAAAAAATTAAATATGAATTTCTAAAAGGAATTTAAGAAAACTAAGAAGCATGGTACTATTTAGTATAATATAAGGTATTTTTTTTAATGGTTAAATTGGATTTTGTAAAAAAAAGAGTTTTTGATCAAATTATGACATTTACTATTTTTAAACATGATGGAGGAATATTAATTGGTGTTAGTTGAATTTAAAAAAAAAATTTATATCTAATTTTTTAATTAATTTGGACCTATTATTTCTTTATTAGGGACCTTGTGAAAAACTCCAATTTTGCTAGCAATTTAAAAATATTAAGGAATGAGGCTTATATTCATTGCACTTTGAATATAGGTCAACATTGATGATACTCTCGACCTATTTATGTCCTAGGTTGAAGGTGTTACAATTCTTCCTGCTGTTGTTGAAAAAGGGAATTGGAAGCTTTAATTTTCTCGAGTGCGTTTCGAAAATGATACAATTATTAGCAAAAATTTGGTTTGGTGAATGTCAAGTAAAAATGAGAGAAAGATAGAGTATTGGATGCTTTTATGGTGGATTAAGAAAATCTTATAGCAAGAAAAAGGAAGGTGGCTGATGCTAGTTCAGTTGGAGAAGATGAAAGAGGACAAAGGCCTTTGGTGTTGGTTCAAAAAGAAGAAATGAAAAATGACTGCTATATTTTTCCTCCCTTTTAGGAGAGATGAATAGTAGCTAGTCCTTTTGGATAAGATGGATGAATAATGGCCAGGTTTTAGTTGTAGCAGTGGTGTCGGATTAGTAGGCCATTTGGATGCAGGTGGCTAGCATTTTTAGATGGTGGTGGGTGAGGGTGTAGTCGAATGGCATTGGCAAGAGAAAAAGAAGGAATTATATTATGACTTTTCCTTGTTTGAGATGATGAATTAATAGTAACTAGTATATTTTCTAGGGGAGAAAGGGCATTTATAAGGAGCAAATTAAGGTTTGGGTAAACATCGATTTTAATTCTTCATTCCTTCTTCTTCTTTAATTTAGTATAAATCTCATTATTCTTCTTCAACCCCCCACCTAAACGAGACTATTTAGGCCTTTTTATTTTTAATTTCTTCCAATTGAAACCTCTCTTATCTTCAATTAAGGCTATTAGGTTTTAGCCCCTTTCAATTAACTTTAAATTAGATTTCTAATTTCTAATATCCTTTTAATTGGACTCCCTAAATTATTTTTATTCATATATTTTTTTCTCTTATTTTCTTCTTCTTCTTCTCTCTCTCTCTCCCCTCATAAAATTTAGAAAATTAGGTGGGGGTAAAAATAAGGTGTTAACATAGGTAATCACAAAAAATAAAATCATAATCATGAACATCTTATTTGCTACTTGTACTAAACTTTTCAGAACAATTACTGAATAAGAAAGTTAGCTATTACTTGCGGTAAGTCATTATCTAATTGGTTACTTAGACAAATATCTTTGAAATTATAATTAATTAATTTTAGAGAATAATTAATTAAAATTAAAGAAACAAAATATATTTGAAATTATTAAAAATAGTTTAAAGATATAATGTGTGCCTCACAATCTTAATGCAAATTGAAGTTGAAATTTCTTGAATTGAATTAATAAAATTTAGCAAGACTCGATGAAAAGTATAAACCCAAATTATATGAAAGAATGTGCGCCTAAGAATAATTCCGGAAGCTATTTATACATGAGATAATTATGACAACTCACATAATCCAATCTCTTAGGGTTATTTTAGAAATTAATTAGGACTTCTTGCTGAATGATACTTCGGATTTTGATTTGAAACTTTCCAACTAATTTTGGATTAGATGGTGGCTGATTTTAAACTTGAGCTCTTCATGAAAGTTGTGGGCTTAAATATCTTATTTTCCTAGGCTTTTAAATCACTTCAGTCCAATGCATGGAACTTCATAGATGATCCAAATACTAATTAGTAATTCCAACTATTACGAGATCCGAATGAATTTCTGACCTAACTTTGCAATTGAGTTTGATATCCAAAAACATTTTAGATTTGTGCATTTAAACCCTATTTTGAAAGTTTAAGACATCCACTTCAAGCCTCAAGAATGCCCCTTTCACATTCTAAAGCTCTAAAAAATATAACATTGTCATATTTTCTTTTAAAGGTCAACAAGTCAGTAGTGAAATTTTCTCTAAGTGAGCTCGGTTTTACTCATTTGTCTATAATTTTCTCTCAAGTCACAAAATAAACATTATTCAATACATATAACCTAAAAATATATTTAAAAAACTTAATATAAGAGAATAAATGTAATTAATAATATCCACTAACAAAGCCTTACATTTTCCTCTATATAAAAAGACTCATCTTTCTTGTTAAATACAAGTCCAATAACTCTAATACATATGCATAGCATATCCTAAAAGTACTAATTTAATCATTAGAATGGCTTTGCCAAGCATTACTGACACCACTAATACTGATATTTGTGCTCCATACTTGCAGGACTTCAAAGGACGCCACCATCATTTTTCCAACTTTCTCAAATTGGATGAATATTAAGTACAATAAATCTATATGTTGAGAACTTAGCTATGGTAGTATATAAAAATAAAACTTTTTATAATATTTGAAAATAAACACCTACAGTTTTCATGTATAAAGATTTTTTTTTTAAAAAAAAGAAAATAAAACTTATTTTGTAAAAGTCATTAATCGACCCTGCTGCAGTTTCCCAATGTACCACTGGTTGGTCGTCCAGTAACTGGATGATACGGTTATGAGACGGAGTCCGGATCCAGTCTTTTTTTGGTAACACAGCATAATCTGATAGTAGGAGAGTTAACTGATACGACGAGTTAGTGTCATCAAACGGAGACCCTACTACTTCGATTTGCCGATCAATTAGACATTTATAATCTCATTTCTTTGTAGAAGAAGCATATGCATGACAACTTGGTGTGCACAAAACAGAAAACAAGATCCACATATAATTTTTTTTTTTTTTAATGTACTTACTTGATGGAGTTTTTGTAACCCTAATATACTAATACTGTGATATTTGTGAGAACACGTATTATATTAATTGTGTAACATATTCGAATTATAATCATACCATATATATATATATATATATATCTTCTTAAATATATCATTTAATGTATTTATGAGAAATTATTTGATTAGGACTTCTTTATATTTGAATCTGGTATGAAAGATTATGGATGGCATTCACTTATCAACCAGGACTAACTTAAAAAATAATTATTGATCATAAATTCGTTCATATGGGAGTAAGAGCTCAATAATCAAAACTTGAGTTTTTGTATATTAAAAAAATAAAATTTAAATATGAATTTAAAATCTATTTTATTAGTTATATGAAAGAGCACATAGATTTAATTCAATAAAATAAACTACAATGGATTAGAAACACCATTTATAATTAAAATAATAATAATAATAGATATGAATTGTCAAAGGAAAACCACTATACTAAATTGAGAATTTAAATAAAATTTATAAATAAAAAAATAAAGAAAAAGAGAGATAGAAAGAGTCTATCTGGTATCAAGAAAACATGAATAATAAGTAGAATATATATATATATAGTTGCCAATTTATATTATAAAATAGTTTTTCTATTATAATAAAGTTTTATTAGCTTGTTATAGTATTTGGAGTTAAAGAATAATAGTTGAGTAATTAATTTGATTTTTAAGTAAATATTAAAACTAATTTGTTTAATATTCATATTATGAAATAAATAAAAAAATCCTCATGACTCAATCAAAATAAATCTCTAAAAGTTCTAGGAAAAAAATGAATCTTCCAAATTTATAAAAAGAAAAAAAAGACTTGAGATTATATATATAGCAATTATGGCTTTGTTGTTAGTATTTGGTATCTTTTTATATTTAAAATAATGATGCATTTGTCTAATTTAAATCATCTATAAAATTACTATGTCGCTATAAAAAGTAGAACTCTTATTAACGGAAGATTTGAGACGAATGAAAATGGAAAAGACAAAATATTATTGTAACTTTGAAAATAATTTGGTTCCGACACCAGTAGTAGTCGCTGGATGGCTTCGATCGTTTTCCTTTGCCAGAGCAGGTTAAAGGTCAAAACTCCATTAATATTTACTTTATTCATGGTATTATAGGGTCCAAGGAATTAAAAGCAGGTAACATTAAGCTTCTCTTTTCTTTATAATATATTTTTTTTTTTTTTTTTTTTTTTTTGCCCTTTTTCTCCTGCAAACCCACATTGAATGCTACGCGGTTTTGTGAGGCAGTAGAGGTATTGACATAGCTGACTTTGGCTTGCCCTTGAGTAAATGCACTTGCTGTCATCTTTTGACTCTTTTGTGTATGCTTGTGCCTCTTTTAGGTCAGCTTCTCTCTCTCCTGAGGGTCTTTTTCCTATATATTAAGACCGATCTAGCTATCTTGGCCTTACATGCTTGTTCTATCTTTAGAAAAGATAAGCAAGTTTAAGAGGGGAAGAATTAAAGCGAGAGTAGAGTACTAGAGAGAAAGAAATCTTGGAGACGTAGCTTGTGAGGAAGGAAGAAACAAAGGCAGTGATCATGGGCAGACCACCTTGCTGTGATAAGATAGGAGTGAAGAAAGGACCATGGACTCCGGAAGAAGATATCATTTTGGTATCATATATTCAAGAACATGGTCCTGGGAATTGGAGAGCTGTGCCTACTAATACAGGTGAATTAATTATATCGCTGTTGTAATAATTTTTGTTTTCTACTTTTAAATTATTCATCTAATTTTGCGCTAGCTAGGTGGTGTGATACTGCTTTGGTTTATTGACCATTCGGAAAATACAGTTAAAAAATATTTTCATGATTTTGTTCTGTTATGTGGTATTTTTTTCTGACCTAATTTGTTCCCTTTGTGGTTCTCAGGGTTGCTTAGATGCAGTAAGAGTTGTAGGCTGAGATGGACTAATTACCTCAGGCCAGGGATCAAACGTGGTAATTTTACCGATCACGAGGAGAAGATGATAATCCACCTCCAAGCCCTTCTAGGCAACAGGTAAATGCAAGCTATGTAATTTTGATCACTTATATATATATATAAGATCACGATCTGGGAAAAAGATAATCTTAGTTTTAAACTTTTGGGTGGCTTGAATTGGTTTCTGAAGAGTAATTAATGTGGGCATTGATTATATTGCAGATGGGCTGCCATAGCTTCATACCTACCTCAGAGAACAGATAATGACATTAAAAATTATTGGAACACACATTTGAAGAAGAAGTTAAAAAAGCTTCAAGCGGGGCAAGAAGGTCAGTCTAGAGATGGGTTATCATCAACAGGTTCTCAGCAAATTTCTAGAGGCCAGTGGGAGAGAAGGCTTCAAACTGACATCCACATGGCTAGGCAAGCTCTATGCGAGGCCTTGTCTCCTGAGAAACCAAGCAGCTTATTGAATGAGTTAAAACCCTCCAGGGCATATGAAAAACAAGCTCCAGCATCACTCTATGCATCAAACACTGAAAACATAGCTAAGTTGCTCAAAGGTTGGATGAGAAACGGACCTAAGCAGTCCCTCACAAATTCTACGACTACTCAGAATTCCTTCAACAATATGGCTGGAGCTGATTCAGTGTCTTGTGAAGGGAATCCAAATAAAGCAGATAAAAATGGCACTGAATTATCAGAGACATTTGAATCACTCTTTGGTTTCGACTCTTTTGACTCTTCAAATTCTGATTTCTCTCAGTCTATGTCACCTGATACTGGCCTTTTCCAAGACGAAAGCAAGCCAAATTCAAGTGCTCAAGTGCCATTGTCATTGATTGAGAGGTGGCTATTTGATGAAGGAGCTATGCAAGGGAAAGAGTACCTTAGTGAAGTCACACTGGATGAAAATAATCTCTTCTAGACGGAGGGCTGTTCCTAGCTTTTTGTGGGTTCTTTCGTACTCTTCTGATCTAGACTAATATGCTAGTAATTTTTTTCTGAAGGGTTCCTTGTCTGAGAATCTTTGGCTCTTGATTTTGAAGTAGGCCTTGAAGTGATACAATTTCACACTGGCCTTATCAGTTAGAAGTTCTCATCTCTGTAGAGCTAGAACACAAACAGTGTAAATCTGAATATTTATTACCATGTCATATTTCCTCTTCTGAGAATAAATTCCTATATATTCTGATCTTCTCAAGAACAATTTATTGCCTTTATTTCTAATAAGGAATAATTAATTACAAAATAAGGAAATTGTGGAAAAAACCAAAGGATCATGGATATACTTCTATGCTTCTATTTTAATTTTAAAATATTGAAAAAGTAATTAACAATACTTATTTCATTATACTCACGTCTGAACCTAACTTGAAAATCTTATCAAGTACTGTTAGTTAATCTTTGTGTACAAATTGAAATCAGCAGAAACACTCCGTTAGCTAGCTAGGGATATTACATTCGAATTTAAATGTTCCTGTAAACGAGCTTGATAGTCTATGGAGGGTAATATAACCCTAACATACTTCTCCTACATTAATTTGTTTTTGTGCAAGTTTGAGTTCGTAGATAAAACTGGATTATGCAGTGTGCATATACATAGCACCGTTCAGCCTTCAGATTTTGTACGTTATTTTTTAAAAAAATAAAAATAAAATAAAATCAGTAAACAGACATGCACCTCAGTAATACAGAGGGCACGAGCTTTTATTTATTGGTTGCCATGAAAAATTAAAGCATGACTTTATCTTTCTTGTGAACCTATGCATGCCAACTTGCCAAGAAGTTAAAAAGTCAGCAGCTTACATAATTGTAAATAATTGAAAAGTAGCAATAATTAAAGAAATAAATATCCAACTAATTAATTGATGAAAAATTAAAGCAGTAATTACATGATAGTAATACTGCAATATTTAAGGCAGACTGCTAAATCTTCAATTTGAAGTTAATGGGAAATAAATATCCAACTAATTATTAGCCAGGGAGTTTTGATAGCTTGATTTAGATATTGTATCTGTACCTAGCTTCATAATTAATATCAAGTTTGAAAAGAAATGTGTAAAGTTGTGATAAATGATAACTGACAATAAATAGAGTCGACACCTCTAAATTATAAATGCAGGCCTATGCCCTGTTTCCCATTAGAGATTAGAGATATGGAGGCAGTCTGCAATGTCAAATGTAAGAGCAAACCTATCTTTAGAATTCCTATTTCAAACTGAATGAGATGTGTTCTAACCAATAGCTGCACCATTAGAGAACGAGTAAATTATAAATTAGTCTCTCTTATTTTGAAAAATAAATTAATTATTTTTTTTGTTTTATTTTTAAAACTAATTATTTAGTTTTCCTGTTTTAAAATCTATTTGTTATTTAATCTTTTTTATTCATTTTTAATTTTTTTTAATACATGAAAAAAAGAAAAAAATTGAAAAATTTGGAAAGATTAATAAGGAAATAAGAGATTTTATGAAATAAAAATAATATTAAATTAAATATTATCAATACTGATTAAAAGAAAAAAATAATAGCTTTCGAAACGAAATAGATTAATTAATTTATTTATTGAAACTAGATGGAGTAATTTATAATTTACTCTTAGGGAATTAGTAGACAATAATTCTCACAACTTTTAAACTGTTTAAACTATCTATGTTTTACTGTGCGCTGGAAAAAAATATTTTTATTATATTTAAATTATAAAAAAACATTATTTTTTAACAAGATATTTTTAGGTAAAAGAGATAAAAAAAATTCAAATTGAAATTTAATTTGAAGATGACTCATCAATTAATTAAATTTTGTATAGTGTTTATTTTAATTTAAAAGTCTACAAGAAAGTTCATATATTTTCGTTGGAGTGTGAATTTTATTGTGTAAGTGACTATGTATAACGCAGGGATGCGAAATTTGTTACATTTAAAAAAAAACGTACAGAAACTCATAAAATTATAAAGTTTAATTATAAGCCGATGAATAAAGAATTACAAAACTAAGTAAATATTCCGTTCTAGTTGATCAAGAACTAAATAGAAAATTAAAATCAACATCAAATCCAAAACATAATAAAAACTAGTACAGAAAATAAAGGAATAAATAAGAAAATTGTCTTTCAAAAACATAAAAAATTTATGTTTGATCTGCAGTCGAATCACTTTATGCTTCAAGTAATAACTTTTCGTAGAGGACTTATGGACATTTGAATCAAGAGTTAAGGCTATTAAAAACTATAGTACGTGTTTGTCAATCTAGATTGTTTTTTTTTGGTTTATGCCTATTGATAATTAGCTTTATTGATGATATTTATTCTCTTATATTCAATTTTTTGAATGTGATTTTATGTTTTGTGTGCTGAATTAAGTTAACTTTGTGATTTAAAAGATGGTTGAAGTCAAATGAGGAAAAAAATGTTAATTTGGGGAAATTTCATATATTGGTAGATTGATTTTTATAGGAAAAGACTAGTATTTCACATTTTTAGAGCTCTAGAACAAAAAAGATGCCTTCTTAAGAATCAAAGTCAGTTGTAGAGTTAGAGAAGAATCCGAAAGAAATTCGGATCTTTTGATGGTCCGAAATACTTTCTAGTGTTTGAATCATATCTAGAGTTATACACATTAGATTAAGATGATTCAAAAACTTACGGAAAGAAGACATCCATGCTTATGATCTTCATGAAGAGTGCGAGTCCAGATTCTACCTTCTTATGACCTTAAATCAATTCAAAAGTTTTAGCCCATTATCAAGAGTCTTATTCAAGCAGTAAGTCTTAGTCAATTTTAGAAATTCACTAAAATAGGACTTTGGTTAGTCGTCATATTTATCTCCTTATATGTATAAATAGCCTAAAGGACTTCACAATAGAGACACTTTTATTTACACATTTTCTTTTATATTTAGAGTTTTATGCATAAAACAATGCCTTGTTAGTTTTTGTTTAATTCAATTTAAGGGATTTCAACTTCAATTTGCAAAAGATTGTAAAACACAAGTTTGATATTTAATATATTCTTTATGATTTAAGTATCTTTTTTTTCTTAGTTTAATTAATTATTTTTTGAATTTAATTAACCATAATTGTCTAAGAGGTTTATTAGTTAATTATTTATTGTGATTGATTATTAACTAACTCTCTTAATCCATAATTGTTAAAAAAATTAGTAAAAGTAAAAAAATTAGGTTAGATTACCTAAGGAAAACAAAAAGGATGAATTAAATGATTTAGACATCTTAAAATTGATGTTAAGTCTTAGCTATTTTCCTAATTCTTGCTGCTATTGTTAATTAGACTAAGATTGCCTCAATACCAAAATCAATCGATAATATGAAGAATTTAATTTCGTTGTGAAATTTTGAATCAATGAATTTAGGGAAGGTTTGAGTTTATTCTAGCTTCCACGTAAATCTAGACTAAATATTCAATTAAAGAATAATAATTTAGGTGTCAATGATTAATGTACAAATTGAATGTTTGAATTCCTCCTTGAACTGAAGTTTTTTTTAAAATTGAATCTTTTCTTCCTTGATTTCTAAATTACTTTTAATTTTGGCATGACCTATCAATATGATCTATGTACTCATTAGTTATGCATGCCATGTTAGTCCCTTCAACTTGCGAAGACTCGACAATGAGTTAGAAACAAACTTTAGATATAATGGTGTGTCTACTTCTTAATACTAATAAAAATCCAGAACATTAACTATTTTAGAAACAACCTATTATATCGTGTACATGAATCATATAAGCATTGTTGTTTATCTTTTTCGAATTTGATAAGGAGCATACTTTTTGGACCATATATAATTTGTTGTGTCATAATCAAAAAAATCACATCCATTTTACAATTTTAATTTTTTGTTATATTTTCCTTCATTTATTATTTTCTTTTATTTTAGTTTAGTTTAGGTTATTTCACTTTTATTTGAATTATTTTTATTTTAGGAGAAGAAAGAAGTAAAAACAAAAATACAAAAAATATATATATAGAAAGTAGAAAAACAAATTTCATCATGGGACATAAACACATCAAAAGAAAGTATAATTGTAGTATTTAGGAGCATAATTGAACCAATTAAGAAATTCAAAATCTAAATTACTCTCTATAGGGACCCCATTGAAAAAAAAATCATATTTTACAAGATTGAAATTACACAAAAAAGGGCACGATTAAGGATAATTAAAATTCGTAGGGACCAAATTAGAACTTTAAAGGAAATGACATGAATAAAATTAAGAGGACAACCTATCATCAACTCCAACTCAAAGTCTCTCCGAAAATCCTTTAGAATTATTTTCAAATCTTCCACTCATTATGTTTTTTTGAAATGCATTTACTATGATTCTTAGCTAGAATTGATACCAGCTAAGAATTACATGTCATTGATCTAGTTTTCTTATGTTGGCTAATCAAATCTCAAATTTGAGATTTGGCGACTAAAATTGGGATTGATTGGTTAATTCTAGGAGAAATTTGAGCAAATTCGTTCCTATAAAAGCCTTGTGTTTGCTAGGAAGAAAGGATTGTAAGAAAAGGGTAGAGAATTCTACGTTGAGAGAGTAAAAATTGGGAAAAGAGTAGAATTCAAAAGATTTTTTGAAATTTCGATTGCTACATTTTTCCGAGAAAATTCAGGCGGTGTTCATCCTGTTCTTTATTTCGGGTTTTCATTCTTTACTTGTGGGTCATTTCAATTCGTTTTTCTTTGTTTTCCTAGGCTTTGTGTTGAATTAACTAGTTTCTTCCACTTAATTCATTGATTTCTTCGCTTAATTTGTATTTTTCGAGGCTTCCTTCAAAAAACGTTTGGGTATCTGTTTGATTGTTCTAGGCTTTCCGGGTTTGCTTTTTGGCATTCTTCCTATTATTGGACTCCAATCCCTTGATTTTGAACTTGTTCAAATGTTAAAAACCATTGAAAGTTTCT